GTCCCTCAAGGCTGGCGGAGCAACCTTCTCCTTCTCATTCGATTGGGGCCGTGCAATCGGCCACTACTCTGCCCGTCGCTTCGGTAAGCTTATATCTCTGCGTATTTTCATTTATCAATTCTACGGGCCCAAACTCACTTCTACGCCCAAAAATATAGGAAATTCAACCTTCCGCACCTGAGACGGAAATTAGGGCGCAAGTCATGACTTCGGTGGGCGAGGATGAGGTAGCTTCATTTCCTTAGCCGTTTGAATTTCCTTTTACTTCTTTTATGCTTAATACATTTTCAAACTTAGTCGACCGAGGTCAATTCCATTGGACACCTGGAAGAGGTTTACACAGGGTCACACGAGACTACTCCCATGCCCGAGGATCACGCCCTGGAGCACGTGACCAAACTGACAGAGGAAGACTTCCCACACGTTCCAAACTCTCAGGTTCATTGAAATTTCTTATTTTCAAAATTTCTTCTATATTTGCCCGCAACTTCTTATTTTCAATGTTCGAACATGTCAGCGGCCCATTTCTGGCCCTGAACTTTCTTCGGCCGACACCGCAGCCACTGAGGTCAAATTTCAACCCATTTTTCCCACCGACGGAAGTGCACCACCTGAGCCCATCTTTATGCTAACCTCGGTAGCTCCTGCCTTGGTGGTCGAGATTATTCCATCCGAATTCCAACTCGAGGTAATCCTCGACACTTTCATGCTTATTTCAAATATAGGTGCCATTATTTTGACCCTCGTTCCCTTTGCTAGGTTGGAGAATCTTCATCCTTTACTCCCGCCGAGATTACCATGAATCCGTCGGTGGTGGATAGTGGAAGCTTGGCCATGGTCCCTCACGAAGAAGCACCTCAATCATCCCCTGATCAGGTATGAAAACAAGAAATGCATACATATATACATATGCAACTTACTTTCCCTGGTTGAAAATATAATGCCCATTTTTCTCGCAGCCCTCTGGTGACATTTTTGACTTCCTCGATCAGTGGGATGCATCTATATCTTCGGCGGAGGCTTCTACTTGCCTTGCCACTTCTTCCACTACGATCGGGGCCCTACCAAATTTAGGGGCTGAAGCCCTACTTCGGTCATACAGAGATAGAGACCTCATGTCCCTAGAGGACAAGGATGAGAGGGACAAGCTCAAGACTGCCATTGAGACCTTGGCGAACTCCGGCTTCTTTTTAGACCCATGCTCAGCTGCTATGATCACATATCTCTTTGGTCGGGTGGAGAAGTTTGTCCCCCGTCGCCGTTCTCTCCTGGAGGAGCAAAGTATAGGTCAAGACCTGGAGCAGCGGATTACCTCACGTAATGCAACCATGAGGAAGGAGATTGAGATTGCTCGCCGAATGCAACAGGAGACCGCGGATATTGATGAGCAGGTGAGGCAGCTTCAAGAGAAAAAGACCACCATTATTGCCAAAGTCTCCGAGATTTTTCGGAGCAATAAGCCTCTTGAGGCTCAACTTCGACAGGATGCGGCAGCCGTGGAAGCGTACCGAGAGAATAAGCTTACCCTCCAGTCTACCTTGTCGATCGGAGATACTGCAATGAAGAGCTTCAAGACTGCCCTTCGTACCCTTTTCCCAGATGCTTAGGTTCATATTTGGCCATTGGATGGCCCATTTTGTAGTAGACTTTTGTGTATCTTTTGGAAAGAATCTTTTTATGCGGCCCGTTCTTCCAATAAAAGTCATCGTTTTATTATGAGATGTTTCTTTGCGGCGAACTACCTCTCCATCATTTCCCAAGCCGTTGGGTAATATTTCTTCAAAAAACGCCCATTAATAGGTGAATCATGGAGACGACCACTCTCATAACTCAACCTATATGCTCCTTTTCCTAAAACTTGGTTGATGAGGAAAGGTCCTTCCCAGGTTGGAGACCATTTACCAAAACTACGATCTTTCGTTCCTAATGGGAGAATAGTTTTCCATACTAAATCTCCAACTCCGAAACTCTTGGCTTTAGTCTTCTTATCATACGCCCTGGCCACCTTTTCTTTTTGGGCTTTTAAATTATCCAAAGCCTCAAGTCGGACTTCGTCGAGATCATCCAGCTCTTGAGCCATCGCCTGATTATACTCATCTTCACTCCATTCAGCGTGGCGAGCCACCCTTAAAGATTTTACCGAGATCTCGAGAGGTAAGACGGCATCATGGCCGTATGTGAGTGCGAATGGCGTCGTCCCCGTGCCAGACCTTTTAGAGGTCCTGTACGCCCAAAGGGTGTTGGAGAGGAGAGAGTACCATTCTTTAGGATTTTTCTCAATCATTTTTTCCAAAATACCTTTAATCACTTTGTTGCTAGCCTCAGCTTGACCATTTGATTGAGGATTGTATGGGGTGGACTGAACCATCCTAACTCCCCAATTTTTTGCGGCTGCCTTGACAGCCTCTCCCACAAAAGCCGTTCCTCGGTCAGTCATGATAGACTCTGGTAATCCGAATCGATGGATGATAGACTTCTCAATAAACTCTATCACCTCAGCTTGGGTAACTTGCTTGAGTGGTACAGCCTCTACCCATTTTGTAAAGAAGTCCGTGGCCACTAAAATGAACTTGTGACCCTTAGATGATTTCGGGTGGATTTGGCCAATCACATCCATCGCCCAACCCTTGAAAGGCCAAGCCTTCACAATAGGATTCATGGGTCCGGCAGGAACATGTTGAACTGGACCATGCCTTTGACAACCTTGGCATCCTTTGGCGTAATCAATGCAATCCTTCAAGATGGTTGGCCAATAATACCCATGCCTCCTTAGCAACCATCTCATCTTGATGCCTGCTTGGTGAGCTCCGCATATTCCTTCATGAACCTCAGTCATAACCACCATCTGATCAATCTTTCCCAAACATTTCATGAGTAAGTCGTCAGAGCCAATACGAAAAAGTTCTTCATCCCTGAGCACATAACTTATGGCCCTTTGTCGAACCTGCCGGCAATGCGGATCACTTGGACACTTCAGATACTCTATGATGTCATGTCTCCAGTCATCTGGAGTTACAGTCAATGCCATCACCTCCATTGGTATTCCTCTTTCAAAAACTGAGGGCAACGATCGTTTTTCAACTTTGAATAACTCCTCAGAAAGCCCTTCAGAGATCTGAACTCCAGAGGCCAATTGGGCCATTGCATTGGCCTGTGAGTTGCGCTCCCTTGGTAGGTGAGTGAGTCTCACATCATCAAAACCTTCTATTAATTGGCTGGCCAAGGCATGATAGCCAAGCAATGCTTGGCTGGTTACCTTATAGTCGCCGGATAGTTGTTTCAGAACCAACATCGAATCTCCCATGATTGACACATTATTTATTCCAAGTTCTCTCAAAATCTCCAACCCAATGATCAAGGCCTCATATTAGGCCTGATTGTTGGTACAATCAAAGTCTAATTGAAATGAATAACGAGTTCGGAATCCTTGGGGTGATTCAATGATGACACCTGCTCCCCCCATATTTGATGTTCGAGATCCGTCGAAATAGAGACGCCATGGGAATAAACTTATCATGTCGACTTTGAAGAAGTCCATATCTTTTATTTCAACACAAGGGTGAGAGGCCAAGAAATCAGCCAAGGCTTGCCCCTTGATGGCCTGCTGTTGCATTCCTAAAAGGACACAATTTAATGTGCAAACAAACAATTAAAAATGCCCGCAAGTGCACGAATCTATCGAAGTATAGATTATGTAAATACGGGGTCGATCCCACGAAGAACTTGTCGGTTCCCTATAAGTTCTAATTCGAGTACAAAGAGAACACTTAATTAACACACCACAATGCTCAAATGCAATTTTGAAACTAAAAAGAAAGTAGAGAAATATAAAAGAAACAAACAAAACAACAAAAAGGAAATGTGCTGTGAACAGTAAAAAGCGACCGGTCGTCAGGAGCAGAGTCGAATTTCAAGTTTTGACGTGACGAGCGACCGGTCGTCAGGTAAAAGAGACCGGTCGTCAAGCAAAAGCGACCGGTCGTCAGGAAGAAGCGACCGGTCGTTGTTCACAGAGTCGAATTCTCTGTTTTTCAGTTGTTCACAGAGTCGAATTTCAAGTTTTTCAGTTTCGACCTCTGTCCAGTTTTTGACCTATAACTTTCCAACCGTATGTCCAACATTCACGTTCTTTATACGGTTGGATTCAGCACAGAAAATGCAAGAACACA